GAAGAAATGATGGTCCTAAACGATCAGATGAGAGACGCTCGATTAAGAGTAACAAAAAGAGCGTACCCATTAGAATGGTACTCGATATCTTGATGAACCATAGTGTGGATATGAACGGTGCGACCAGTGTCTAGACGTGCCAATGAGAAGAAACTTAGAAGAGCTTGTAACCCGAGACGACGAACATACAGAAGCCAGGGTAAATGGTCTGTTGTAAAGGTCAATATTCATAGCTCGTTTTAGAATGCCTTCCGCTTACCAATAGCTCTACAACACCATTGTCGTTAGCCATAAAGCCACCTCTCAGGAAATTTTCATTAGACGTTTTCGGTGGACTGCCTCCTCCTCCACCCGGAAAGTCAGTCGGAAACGGTAAAGAGAATGAGCCAGAGCCGGAAGGGAATCCAGTAGGACGTGTCCTGGTCGACGAAATTTCCCCAGTCGAAGGAGGCACGGTGACAGAAGTCGAGTTGTCGTCACCACCTCCAGGCAAGCTTCCCCCAAATCCAGAATAGACACCTCGAAGTAGTGTCAGTGGTGATCCGGCTACCATAGAAAGATAAACTCTTACCTTGTGCACTGCAAGCCCAAATTTCTACAAATACATTTTGGGCGGGCTGGCATGTCGTAATGTCCAATACGCCAATGTCAAGGTATAAATTGGTACCGAGCTGGTCTTCGCGGAGATCTTTGCGGACATAGTCATCTCGAAGATAGTAGGGGCTGGATGAGGAGCATGAACGAGTGAAGGACAAGAGCATAACAAATAAACGCACCCTATATGTGATCAGAAAGATTAGACTAAGAGTCATATTGCTCACCTTCTGTAACTTCAGGAGCCCCAACACAGGTCTATCGAAGAGTATGACTATTTCAACTGCAGAATGAGAAAGAATAGAGCGCACGAACTGTACTTGGTTAGTAATTCAGAAGTGTGCGCGGACAGAGCGGCGTACGTTTTGGATGGTAGAGTAATGGGGAGCAACGGCGCTCGTCGTACTGGTATGGCAAGGCTTAGACTCAGAGTGTGGCCCATGTCCATGGCGTAATTCCTCCTGGCGTCGGACCTTGCGAGCTCGACGAAGTTTGCGTTCTCGCTGATATGCTGCTACTTCAGCAGCACAGTTGCGAGCAAGAACATGCCTCTTA